TTTCTCTGTTTAATTATTTAAAATATACAGATTCCTTATGAGTTAGTTCAACGTTATAACTCAGTTACTTTTTACTTTCCTGTTTGTTACAGGGTACAAAAAATTCAGCTGAAATACTGAGTGGCATGAGGCACAAAGGTTTGCTCAAGTTATCCGTGCATCAATTCATTGCTTCTTTCTGTTCATACTGAACTGAGTACAGTGGATGTCTGTGTATTTAGACAATTGATAGCATATATCACAAACTGGTGTTAGCCAAAATGTTTTGGAGATCTCAGTTTTGCTGTAGCTGATTGATCTGTTGTGTGCCTCCCACGGGATTGGCCAGGCATGTGAATATCTAATAAGCTTTCCTGATCAGCCAGTGGTGGGCTCTCTTTCTCATAATTGAATTCTCAAGTGTTGCAAAGCCAGCATAGCTGATATGAGTAGGAGGACAGGACAGGAAAGGAATCTGAATGCGAAGATCCTTGGCTGTTAGAGCTTGTACCTTATACTGTTTTTGCTTTATTTTCCTGCTTAAAGAAAAATATAGTAGGCATCAGCGTTTCAACACCCCTATCACCTGACTTTACTTAGGGCAGCTTGAGTTGGTTCACTGTTTTGTTGGTTTTTTTTTGTTATATATATTTTTTAACATTAGCCACCTCTCAAGGTAGAGCCATTATCAGGCTCCTGGTGTTCCCTTTCCCAGTAAAAGTCACAAGGCTTTGGGGAACTCAGGGTTTGAAGCAGTGCAGATTCTCTCAAGATTCCAGAGGTCTTTCTTTGCAATTATGAAGCTGAAGAAGAGGTAAAGTGCAACTCTTGAGGAAGCTCCATAGAAAAGCACTTGCAATTAAAGTTTTTGTTCACTTCCTCCAGCTTGAAGCCAAAAACAATACTCCAGGAACTTCCTTTAGCCTCTGCAAATCTCCTCTCTCCATTAGACTGCTCCTCTTTTTTCATCTTGTGATCCATTCTGTGCCCTTCTCTGGATCCTTCTCTTTCTCCTTCTATCCTGAGCTGCTGAACATGACCCTGCTTTAAAATAATCAGGTAATAGGAGATGACTGTTGTATGTTTAAGATATTTCACTCTACGTGAAACATAAAAACAGGTAATTAATGACTCAAGGTGCCTGTTCTTACACAGTGGCAAAATCTTAAAAATTGCTATATCTTCTGGTTGTCTGGGCACAGAATTACAGAATGCTTGACGCTGGTAGAAGCCTCCACAAGTCGTCTTGTCCAACTCCCCTGCTCAATTAGGGACATGTAGAGCAGTTTTCCCAGCAGTACAATGATATTTTGGATCTTATAGTGCCATTAAATTCCTTTCCTCCTGTCATCTTCTACTCAACTTGGAGCAGAGTGATAGAGTATACCACAACTTGACTCTAAGCTTTGGATCTACCTTCTATTCCTACCACTCTTTAGAGCTCTTTTGCCTCAATGTGTCCAGGACACTGACAGTGGCCATCTCAGACATTTCTAGTTACTTTGGGACACAGTAAGTCAGAACTTGCTCTTGCATGAGGAGTGTGTCCAACCTATAATATTTTAGGAACTATTTTGGGTAGACACGAATGCTTCATCTAATGGAAGTGCTGGGAGTTCTCTTTTTCGTGATGTACAGTACTCTGTTAATAGAGATTTCAATGCTAGTTCATAACACTATAGAATGAAGATTTACAAAACTGTTATTTTAGAAACCACCATAAGTTGCATGAAATGTTTTTCTTCCACTTAGAGTAGCGTGTAGAAACTGACTAATGATTTGGAGGCAGGGATATGAAACATTGCATCAGTAGGACTTTTTTTTTTTTTGCTTGACTTTTTTCTAAACCACAAAGCACTTCAGAAATATTGCCTATAAAATGATACAAAAATTAACCAACATATTTGCTTGTGAGGGCCTGAATAACTCACGGCACGGGTAATAGTGATTAATGAGGTCTGCAAACTGCTGCTGACGAGATCTTGCACAGAAACACATGAGCAGGGAATATGTTGGCCTTTCATTAGCTGCCTGCCTCCACATTTTTTTTTAATTTGCATGCAGAAAGTGTAAATATTTGTCTGATACAGAGTAGCAATGTTATCAATGTTCACTTTTTGAAGATAATTTCTCAATGCTGCCTTTAATCGCGTTAAATGTTTGTATATTATTTTACAAAATTCTATTTATTTTCTCTTCTAATACAAAAAATACAAGAAAAATGTGTTCTAATGTATGCCTAATTAAATTCCTTGTCATTTTCTTTAGGATTTTGGACTTGTTCCACTTTTACAACTTTCCCATTTTCCAGCTGATGTCATTTTTCTTCACTGGTTCTGATGCAATTCAGACCTAAGTACTTTTTTTCCTTCCCTTGTTATTGATGGTTCATATGTTTTGGACATTTTTCTTCTATACTCAAATGTTTGCACAGAGATAAATAATTCACTTCTTTCAGTAATGATTTTCTTAGATCCTCAGACTTTTCTTTTCCTAAGTACTGATATCTTCTGTTGACTGCATTTGAAATACAGTGGTCTATTAACTACTTGTTTTTCCTAGAGACCACACCTGTTTTGAAAATGATCTGATTTCACTTCACCTGAAAACAGTCCTTGAAGATCCTGTGATTTCTCTGATGCTGCTCCTTTCCATTGCAGCCTTCAGTTCAGTTTTAGCATCTTCCACTAGCAGCCCTGTTAAAAAGCAGGAATTATTTTAGAGTGCTTTCCGTGCAAGACATTGGTGTGCTGAAGAGGTGACAGAAGATTGTGTAGGACTCTTCAACTGATATCTTTTAATTATGGCCATCTTTTCCTTGCAGGACACACCTGCCAGCCCTGTTTTTACCTTTGATTTCTCCTCTGGATGCTTTCAAGGAGCTTAACTCTCCTTTTATACTGTATACATAGTGCTAAGGTTTGCCCCTTGGCTGCCAGGCACGCTTCTGGCTCACACAGAGCCTGTTGTCACTTGTACCCCTTGATCCCTCTCTGCTAGGCTGCTCTTCAGCTGCTCGTCTCCACCTGTGCCTTTGTCCACCATGGCTTCATCCAGATACAGAACCTGGAATTTGTTCTTGTTCAATTTCAGCCTTTTACTGATAGCTCAGTGCTCCATCTGCCTAGATCCTCTGCAAAGCCTGTTGTCTTTCAAGACAGTTAACAGCACCTCCTGGTTTAAATTGTCAGCAAGTTTACTAAGGATGCATTCCTCTCCTGCATCCAGATAGTTGAAAAAGTTGTTGACCAGAACTGGCCACAAGCTTAAGCCCTGGAGTACTCCATTAGTAGCTGGCTGCTAACAACTCTTCAAACCCTACCAATCAGTCAGTTCTTCAGTCAGTGTACCATGCACCTCTTCATCTCACAATTAGAAAATATGTCCAGAAGGATTCTGTCAAGGGCAGCATCAAAAGCCTTCCTGAAATCCAGACAAACCACATCCACAACCTTCCCTGCATGCACTAAGCAGGCTATCTTAACGTGAAAGATTTCAGATTACTGAGGCAAGACTTTTCTTTCCTGAACTCGTATTGGATGGGCCTGATGATTTTGTTATTCTTTAAGCATTTTTTGATGGCACCCAGGATAATCTTTCTTTAATATAAGGTAAGAACAACAGAACTTTGCCTCCTAGAGAGCTCACGAAAATGAAAATGTGAAATGTATGGATGGTATCACATACATTTTGTTTCTTTTCTGGGCATTTCTATCAGTGCATCACTGATTCATGTGTGTTTTGTTACTTTTCTGGACATCTGCAAAGGGTAATGAAACACATGCAGATGGTCGAAGGTTAACCATGCTGCCATCAAATACGAGATGTTCTTTATTGTCTCTGATCAAGCATAGAATAGTAGGTGAATTATATTTAATTATCCCTCCAAAAAAGAAAAAAAAGAAATGAATACTTATTTCTCTGCTAATTATGACAGTAGGAAGAAGGATCTTTTTGAGATGATTAGGATAAGAAACCAACCTGTAATACTAAGAACACTGGTATGCTGCACACTGGTGCTTTCAGAGTACAAGTATGAGCTGGGCAAAGAAGTTCGAGAAGAACTGACTCCAAGGTACCCAGGCTTTTATGTCTATCACAAAATCTCCTCCCCTTAGGCTGCAGCCAGCATTATCAGCATGGAATAAAGTTGTGGATATTTCTGACAATGTCTTTGCTTTCTGATGCTCTGGTCTGATGTCAGTGATAATTCTATCTCTGAATTTTGTTCCAAGGATTGATTTTTTTTATTTTTCCCTTTTCATAACAATGAAAAAAAAACTGGAAAACTAATTTCTTGAGAAGGCAGTGCTTATTTTTATGCGAATCATTATCTACACTTCTGTAAGTCTCCTTTATCACTTGTTTTTCTTATAGGTTGTTTCCTCCTTCCTAGTGTTCAGCAACAGAGAACGGTTTGCATGTTGGTTTGATACTATCAAGCTCACATCCTTTTATGAGGAATTATACAGCAATTCAGTGAATTGCAAACTTTCTTATTTATTCTTATGGTTACTTATTATGGTGGATATTAACATGACAGCATAGACATCTCTTGTTCCTAGATAGATGGAGAAAGTGATTTAAATTAACCCTTGTGTTCTTAATTTCTGAGCTCTTCCTTGTTTTGCTTCTGTCCTGGTTCAAAGTGTTCTTGATTTGGTACCTGGGATTCCTCTGGATGTGTAAGGGTTACTATGCTAAGTCCAAGAGGGTAATGTCATTGACTGTGTAAGTAGAATGTTATTGGAATTGCTCCCAACCTTTCCTAAAGCTGAAGGAATTGGGATCCAGGGCTTTGTTCATGCTCTCTATTTCCTTTTCCTTCTCCCAGTGGTGTAGTATGCTATTTGTTATTAAAAAGGAAAACAAATTGAGGATAATGGGAGGTCGAGAACTTTGCTAAAAGGTGAGTCTGCTCAGAAACCTGCTCTGAGCAGCAGTATTGAGTGCACTTCAGTAGTTCTGCCACACAGAGTCGCAATTGGACCTCGCTTATTTCTACTCTTTTCCCATTGTAGGTGAAGGGATTTACAGAGCTCGAGAAAAGCGATCTGAAATGTGGGGGGCAGCTGAAGTTCAAGAAGATGAAGACACTCGTGTAGAAGTTCCATTGGACCAGGTATGGTTCAAACTTTAAATAAACAACTTTTTCTTTCTTTCCTCATTGTTTGTGTGTTCTTCACTCAATTTCTTTCAGGAGCACAAGAGATTATTTTGCAAATGCTTATAGCTGCTCACCAGTGCAGCTTTATTTATGGGAACTTCAGCAAATCTTTCTTTTTCTTTCATTACCTTTTTATTGTACATTCAGCTTCAGAACTGATCTGAGAAGTCTTAAAAGGCCTCAGGGAATCTCAACTGCTTACTGAGCAGATTCACCCAGACTGTAGTCCATGTGTATTGGTGGAATAAGTAAGAACCAAGGTCAAAATTCCTGTAGTCCTGAACCAAAAACGCACCTGGATTTGTCAGATTTCTTGTCCCAGCTACCAGTATGGTCTTCTGTTGAAACAACTAGGCACTTAATTAGCCAGATTTTTTATCAAGACTTCTTGTTCCTGACATAAGAAATGCTGAAGTTCTCTCTTTGCACAAAGAATACCTACCTTGACCTCAGAGGGTTGTGTGCTAAGCACCATCAGGACATCACCGCTGTTAATGGTGGCTGTCCTTACAAGGTGCTGTGATGTTTATTTTGTGTTGGATTGTACTCATAGTACAAAGTGGGGGAGAACATACTGCCTGTCATCTCAGTCTATATTTCTTATGTTTCTTAGTACACTGTGCCCTAGTCCTGACTGTGCAATTATCAAATTAGGAAATAATTAGCCTGTTCATCAGCCTCTGAAGGTGCATAAAGATTTCCTTGGGGGTAACACGAAGCATTTGATAGATACTGGCTTGTCAGGTCTTAGATTTTAGATGGACTGCAATTCTTCCAAAATTCAAGAGCCATGGAATGGCAACTCCTCCACAGGGGTACTATGGCAGCCACAAGAGCTCTGCCCTCTCTGCAGCCACTCTTGACAGTTTACCACAGATACAGAATGGTGACCCCTACTAGAGACAGGAAAACAGCTAATAGTGCCCTGCCACTGCAGTATTAGGTGAGAGCAGCTGTTCATACAGCTGCCAGTGAGCATCCCTTGTGCCTGTAATCTTGCAATGCTGGGGATTTGCTTGGTATCTCCAAACTCATGTGCTGAGACCCGTGTGGAGTCCATAGATGGAAGTATTTTTGAGTTGCTACTAACAGATTTTTGCTACCTGAGCTGCTCTCACAAGGAAGTGTGCATATGTGGGGGGGAAAAAAAGCAAAATTCAGGCATGTACACTATTAATAATCTGATTTTTTTTTTTTTAAACATATTTTCAGAAAAGCAAAATTGTTTGAGAATTCAGGCCATGGTTTATTTCCCATTTTAAAACTTGAGGTTTCCAAGCTAATCTGGCAAGAAGCCAGGTCCTTCTTAATAGCACTGAGTATTCTTTATTCCCAGACAACTGAGATTACTCAACCTTTGAAAACATTTAGCATTTTTGCAAGTTCGTGTTCTTATTAATTAACATTTTAAATCTCTTTCAGTTCTGTGATGTAAAAGATCTATAGCTTTTTTTTTTTTTTAATTGCAGTATCTGTTATGTGCTAGAAGTATGGAAAAGGGCAGTCAGGCAGGGCACTACTATCTTGCATAATGCATAAATATTTACATGCCAGCTTTCACTGCAATGCTGACAGTTCTGATATGCTATCATTTCCATCAGCCACATAAATTAGGTGGTGAAAAGAGAGCTTAGTTGTTGGGTTTTTTCTATGCACCTTCTCTGTCTTGCCATTTCAAGTACACAGTTGAACAAATGCCAGTTTAGCCATTAACTGAAGTCAGTGTAAGACTGGCTAGACACCTGCTTATGTCCTGTAAAATGCTGTTTGTCAGTTGAGAATGCCTTAAAAGAACAGGAATTGCTATATTCCAGACAAGTTGACAGTGGTAATTGAACATCAAAGAGGGGGGGGAAAAAAAGTGTTTTGCCTAAACCCAAACTATATCCTTCTGTTCTGTGTTCTGTACTAAGACTTTGGCTTCTGAATAAAAAATGGATAGTTTTGCCTTTGACATGCAAACCTACTCCAAGTTGGTTATTTACATCCTGGAGGCAGCATCCATGGGGCCTGGTGACAGACTCTGAAACCAACTGTGCAAATAATAAGGGAACGGTGTGGTTCTGCTGCAGATCTTGGTAAGGAGGGAGGAAACAATATAAATTTCTTATTTGAAATGCTGATTAAATATTTCACGTTGAGATTGCTGTTCATAATATAGATATATTCAAAGTAGCTCTCTCTGAGAGAGAAATTTTTCCAACTAATACAATTTTGTTACAAACTACTGCTTTATGTAAGTTATGAAATACAGAAGAAGCATTTGGTAGCAGTGGTATTGAAATAACACTGGAAGTTTCCATTGATTTATCAATTTCCATGTGTTCTCTCACAATAAGCCCTTGGGAGGTGCAGGTTCAAAGAATTCAGGCATGTTGCTGTGCCAATTTGCTTTGCCTTGGGGGATGTGATATTGATTATTAAGATCTAAATGATGTTGAATGGATCTGAATTGTTGGGTTTTTTTTCACCTCCAGATTCATCATCCAACCTCCTCTCTTTCTGTATCTGTAAAAATTACTGAATGTTAAATCCATCTAATGAGCACTGACTTCAGGGGCTGTTGTAGACATTAATGCTTTGGGTTCTCTCACTACCCATTGCTTTCCATTATTCCAAATGTCCACTGATTCCTGATGCCACTCTTATTCTCAATTTCCTGGGCCGTGAAGTGATGTGAAATTGAGGATATCCCTTTTGGTGTTTTCTTTCTCTGGAGAGAGTTCATCAGTAGCAGAAAATCTGCACCTTTCATTTATGATTTTCATTGTGGGGTTTACGTTTTGCTTTAGAGACCCAAGGTTCACCTCGATGAACAGAACAAAACTCCAATATTCCTGCTGCTGAAAGCAAAGTATTGAACTTTGCATTGGTTAAACATTAAAACAGGCTGACTGCTTGAAGATATATTCCTTGATTAAAAACACTGGAGCTTTTCACTGGGCAATATTTTGCACTACATCCATAAAGACTTCAAAATGACATTTGGAAAGAATAAGAACAAAACTTCTAATATGCTCAAGTTTTGCTATGGCTACTATAATTTAAATTTTCTGGGTCCTAAGTGCCAACAGATAAAACACACAGGAAAATGCCTTAATTCTAGCTGCCCTGGTTTACACTTAATTTTTTTTTTTAATTGTCTGTGTGAGGTATGACAGCTTCCTCTGTCTGGTTGCTTGCAACTCAGAATGAGAACAGAAATCTTCCCTAGCTTCTTCCACCAGATAATTGTGATTTCTGAAGCTGTGGCAACAAGACCTGATCTTTATAGACCTGCACAGCCAACTGTTAGAGGGCACAGGTTCTATTCCATTGTAAGCACTGTTCCATTGTAAAATTGGTGCTGATAGCGCTTGGAAAAAAGTTTTCTCTCCACGTGCACCTGTCTTGAAAAAGCCTAGGAATTCTAGAACAGGCAATCTTTCAAATTACTTAACTTCTAAGACGTACTACATGCCTACCTGGATGCCGACCTGTGTGACCTGCTGTAGGGAACCTGCTTTGGCAGGGGGTTGGACACGATGATCTCTGGAGCTCCCTTCCAACCCCTACGATTCTGTGATGCTGTGACATTTTTCATTTTTCATTCACTGTAGAAGAGTCTGTTTGGGAGGGGGAGAGGGGGGAACTTACATATATCTGCAAGGTTAGGGCTTCTTTTGAGAAGCTTATAAATTTTCTCATTATTTATAGGAGGAAGCTGTGAAGCTTGGGCAGATCTTAAGAACATTTTCCAAGAGTACATTATGGAAAAACTATACGTAACTGTCAGTGAAATGTGTGCAGACTATTTTAAACTTAGGTATGTCTTACAAAAACAAGTATCTGATCAGGTGTTTTCTTCTAAGCCGTGGCCTTCTTGTGATCAGGGATTTATGCACACTCCCAGTTGCCACACAATGAAACCAAGGAATGGATTTTGAAAAGCTTTTTACCCTGCTTGAAGTTACATTGACTTCTAAGTAACTTCATTTACACTTTTGGGAGCTATGATCTTACGAAAAATTATACTCTGTGGACTCAGGTCTTCATTTCTTTCATTAAAGTAAAATATGAGTCGTAAAGATGTTGGAGTTTAAGGCTCTTTATTGTATTTTTTTGCATCACATTCATTATGTGTGAAATGTAGGACTGATGAACCCTCAACTATTCATTTGCTTGCTTTTAAGTACTTGAGTTTTGTAAATGATGTGGAAGAGGACTGTTGTCACTTAGCAACCTTATCTGGTTCAGGAACAAAATGTTTTGATTTCAGAATCTGTGCTGTGCAGCTCCAGAGCATTCCTGGCTCCCTTGGAAGAAGGGCAGCTCTGTTCTGGAGCTGATCAGTGCAATTGGCTTTGCACATTCCTGATACTACATTCATGACATGTATTCATGCTGGTATTTGTGGCCATTAAGCTTTTTGTTGCCTACCTCATTGTTTGTCTGTTGTGACTGTTAGCCAAGTAAGTATTTCCAAGTGGGTTCAATAAAGGAAAACTATGTTTTACATTAATGGTATGAAACAATTTGTCTTAAATGGTTTGTGTTACTGCACTTCTTAGTATTCTAGTATCGACTGTGTACAAGCCCACTGAGAGAATGCATTAGCATCCTTAGAGGTTGAGAAGTCAAATGCTTCCATGTCTAAAAATTTCCTGACTTACTCCATTTGAATGATGATGGCAATTGGTACTGTGGCTCCTAATGAATTGTGGCATGATGAGTGTAACTAGAATACATCTCCCTTTTTTTAAACACTCTGGTATTGCTGAGATTAAAAATATCATCAAGTGATTGTACTACTTAAATACAAAGTGAAACTTGGATTCAGTTAGTTGTGATGTGCAGCTTCAGTTCAATATGCTTTTGACTGACTGCACCTTTGAATAAATATATGCAGTTCTTTTCTTAGTTAGCCATTTTAGTGATTGCCCATGGCAGGTGAGAAATATGAAAATACTTAGAAATATGAAAATGTGATCTGAAAGGAAGTTACTTCTGTAATTTCAACTAGGTGACTGCAATGGACCCTACATTTGAAAGTTGTAACCAGCTGTACAAGAAGGAGTGGTACTCCCTATTTTCTTGCTGTCACAAATAAGGCAGAATAGAGCCTGATTATCAGTAATTCTTGCTGCTGGAAGAATGATGTTAGTCTACCATACACTCTGAAAAATTGTCTGTTCCTGGAAGTTGTTTAGTCCTCTATGAAAATTTCCACAAGGAATAAGCAGATAATCACCTCACACTTCTCCAGTTCTAGATTTACTGCAATCGGGTTTGAGTTGTCGTGTGTCTGTAAGACAAGGTGAGGCCTCACTGGTGCTGAGTACAGGGGAAGGCTGACTTCCCTAGTTCTGCTCACCACACCATTCTTGATACAAGCCAGGATGCTGTTGGCCTTGTTGGCAACCTGGGCACACTGCTGGCTCATGTTCAGCCCACTGTCCATCAGTACACCGAGGTCCCTTTCCATCAGGAGGCTTTCCAGACACTCTTCCCCAAGCCTGTAGGGTTGCTTGGGGTTGTTGTGACCAAAATGCAGGACTTGACACTTGGCTCTATTGAAACTCATGAAGTTAACCTTGGTCCATCAATCCAGTCTATCCTGGTCCCTCTATAGTGCTTTTCTCCCCTTTGGTAAATCAACACTTCCTCCCAACTAGGTGTCATCTGCAAACTTACTTAGGGTGCCCTCAATCCCCTCATCAAGATCGTTAATAAAGATGTGAAATAGAAGCAGCCTCAGGACAGAGCCCTTGGGGATGCTGCTCATGACTGGCTGCCAACTGGGTTTAACTCCATTGACCACAGCTCTTTGGGCCCAGCCATCCAGCCAGCATTTCACTCAGAAGAGCTTGTAATGCATAACTTCCTGTGAGCGAGCACGTTGGCTCAAAGCCTGACTCACATGCAAAGGAGAGCAGCCTCCCACATCTGTCTTAGCCATCCAGCCAAAGCATTACACACAGAAGAAGCTCTTACTGTGAATATTCTTGCTGTTTAGAAGGTGACTTATGAGAGTGTGAGAACACAATTTGAAGTAACTTTTACATAAACGTATGGACATTTGGTGTAGCAGTAGCTAGATGGTTTATTGTAGTCTGTCAAATTCTGTGAGAAGGTTCTCATTGACTACGGGAGATCCTGAATTAAGCCCTGTGCCAGAAAGATATTAATATTTTCTTTAGCTCCCTTCTTCAGGTTCACTAAAATCACTGGAACCAGTAGTTATGCATCTGTAGTAATTATAAGCTTTGAACCATAAAAATCTTTCTCCCTTTTTCTCTTTTCTTCCCTGTATATATATATATATATTTATATATATATATATATAAAAGACTATTAAAAAAAATCTATCTCCATAAATATGAAAATGAAATAACTTTTGCCAAGTATTTCTCTTTCTCAGAGAAGACAGCGTACTTCACATTATTAAATCAGCAACATTTCAGTACTAAGTGTCACAATTTTTATGTAAAGCCCAGTGTGTGATTTGGAGGGTGGGTTGGACTTCAGTTCCTTCTCAACTGTTCTGACTTCAATCTGCAGCTCATTCTGAGCTCATTCTGAAATGCAGTGTCTGTGGCCATCCTCATTTTGAAACCTACCTAGGTTTTCCCATGCGGTGGGGATGATTCTGTATTTTAGACTACTGAGCAAAGGATCACTTCTTCCATGTCCGTAATCTAGTGTGACTTGAAATGAGATTAAATGAAGAAAGCATTTTGCTTTCCAATTCTTGTAAATGTGCCACTTTATTTTGGTCCATTTTGCAATTTGAATGTGATATGATGTTAGCTCCCTATGAGCTTCCAGAGGGATTCTGGCTATTGTTCAATACACTGTTTTTCACTTAGTTTAGTCCCTAGACAGGGTGAAGTGTAACAGATATAGCCACTATTTGTAATGTCATAGCAAGCAGTTTTCCTTAAGAAAAATGCTTACTTTTAAACATGGGTATGTGGTGCATTTAATTTGTGCAGTCCACTCTTGCTCAGAGTCAGAACTCAAAGCTGCTAATTATCATTGTGCACTGGAAATAAATCAGTAGCTCATAGGTGGCGAATCAGTAGGTAGGCTAAATCTGCATTTTCTTTGCTGTCCTGATGTGCTGATAGTTATACGAGTTGGCTCAAGTCTGCTTTGCATGGCAGCTTCTTTGAAAGTGTCTGTAAAGATTTGGCTTGTTTAATTTTCATTTCAGAAGCAACAGGGCTGATTTTATATTGAGAGATAGCTAGGAAGGCTTAAATAAAATCGTACAGAACCCACTGTGCTTCAAAGAGAGCTTTAGGAGCCATTATTTATACCATGGTCAGGTAACCATGTAATATTTCTAGTAGCTTGTCATTCTGTGGATTATCACGATGAAATAACTTGTCCTTTTTGAAGCTCACGGAATATTCGAAGTCAATGGGATATTTTGCATGGGCTTTGTGAAATAGTCCTACATTGCCACGTAAACGTCAAAGCAAAAGCAGGGTGTCTTGCCAAAAGGCTTCCATCAATTGCTGGTATTCTTAAAGTGGCTCTTGCTAATATGCCAAAGAAAATGAGAGAATTGTTTTTGAAATGAAACAGTGAGAAAAAGAGACAGAACTTACAAGCTGTAGGATAAACCTGCCTGCCTAAAGGAGCTGCTAATGATAGTAGAATTCCCAATACATTTGATTAAAAGAGAATCTATCTTTTGCTCTCAGATTGCTTGCTTTAGATTTAGTCTGATGAGGCTGTGTGGGAGGCAGATACGATTTCATTCCCATGGGACTTTTACTCTTTATTTTCATTCAAACTTGAGCACGAGTACTTAAGTCATCTTGACAGAAGGAGCGTTGGTTCACTGAATAGTCAGGTGAACACTGAAAGTTGAAACTGGAAGACAAATGGCAAAAAATAGACAACATGTGCATCAGTCTCCCAGGTTGTCACAAAATCATGCTGCTAGCAGCTTTATCCCTAGTGATTTTCTGCTTATTCTTCAATATGGGACAACATTTTATTATCTGATAATTATTTGATTATGTAGGAAAAATTAATTACTAAATGTCAAACAAATCCTAACTATACAAACCCACACAGAGGTCTTTGGGAAGAGACAGTATGGAAGAGACCAGTGGGTCTATCTATCTCATCTCTCTTGCTGCTTTTCTGTGGATGCATAGAAGACAAGTTGTGACCAGGCTGATTGGCATGGTGTGGTCTGGTTCATAGGTAAGACTTCAGAACACTTTGTGTGCTAGTGATGCTATTTTATTTTAACATTTTATTTTATAGAAAAAAAAATACATATATGTACCAGATGCCAGAATATTAGATCAGAATAGCTGGTGCAAAATACTGTTGCTGGGATAATTAAATCTAGCTCATTCCAGTTTTAATATAGTCAAATAGATGAACCCCGTGTGATTCTTCTAAATCTCATTAGCTTTTAGCATTGTTTGTAGAATGAGAGCGCAGTATGAGGTGCTGACAGGAGCATCGTTTTTCTCTCTGTGAAGATAAAGCTCATGTTAGCATACTGACTCCCTAGTAATGATGTAATCGTGATTTTGATGTCTGTCACGTTTCAGAATTGCCTTGGAGAATTCTGTTTAAAAATGCCTCGTAATGTTGCTGCTTTTCCTTTCAGAGGCCAGCAGAAACTGTGGATGAAGAAGAAAATGCAGAAGAGGAAGATGACAGAGGAGAGGAGGAAGCACATAAACAGAAGGAAGAACAGCCAGAAGTAAATGGAGAGGAAAGTGGGGAAACTGTTACGAAAAGAAACACAGGAGAAAATAAGAATAAATTAAATGGGAATTATGAACACAAAACAGAAGGAACAGAGGATGTTGACCAGGCAGAGGAAGAGGAGCTCGCCCATTTAAATGGCAAGATAAATAAAGACAGTGGTGGGCTGATGGAGCAGATGAATGGCCACGATGATCTCCAGCATGAAGAGGATGGAAAAGAGGATTATTCTGGCAGTCAGGACCAGGTAAGCATCTATTCTTTCAGTTTGTTTTTCTGTATTTGTCAGCTTTAGGCTTTGTCTCAGCTAGTCTGCAAGTATCTCACTCCAGATAAGTCTTGGAGAGACCTTAATAGAACTGAATATGTAGGAAAAGCTTTCTTATCTACATAAGTTGGTAACATCATTAGTTACAATATATGCCCTCCAACTGAGAAAGCAGATGCTTCTCACTATTTGATGAACCTGCATATCCTACTTTCCTGAGTATGCTGAGCTCTCAAAAAGAGAAATCTTGCAATTTCCTGAAAGGCACGATCATTTTACACTTCCTCACTGTGTTATCCTTAGGACAGAGCAGGAGGATGTATTCATGAAACCACAGCACCTTGATTTGTTGTTGTTGTTTGCCTGAATTGATTTTCGCAGAAGCTGCATTTCATAAAGAGAACTTGCTATTACTGTGTGGAAGTTTCATTTGTTTTTCTAAGAAATAGGATCAAACAATGGAAATGAATAAGGCCTTGAAAGCAAGGTGCTTTAGTCAGGCTAAAATCAAATATCCTGTTAATTCTGGGAAGCTGGCAACATGCTGTTAGCTTAATTGGAGGTGTGCAGCCCGGAACCAAGCGGACTGCCTTGAAAGTCAGATGAACAGAACACAGAAAATGGAGTCCTCTCCTTAATAGAAAAAAATCCAGATCCAGGGAGACCTGTATTGTCGAGTATTAGGAGCTGAACAAATTGCTGCATGTTTCCTGCCTATAAGCTGCTGAAAAAAAGACCCCTCCTCTATTTCTGGGGTCACTGGGAATGGTTTCTCACTTCCTTGCAGCTAGGCTTTCATCTGTTCCTATATTACACACAAAAACATTTCTCAAGGGAGTTAAGAGAACTGAGTAACATAACATTTTTTTTTCCTTCCCAAATTTGTTTTATATTTGACATAGCAATGGATTTTTTGTTTTATTTTGTTTTTAGAGAAGCTGAAGTAATTTATGGCAATGGAGAAAGTGAGTGCGCATTCACTTTAAAAGGATATGTGGGTAACTGGGTGTTTGACAACCCGGGGGGGAAAAACCTCTAACTTGAGTGCTTTCTCCTTTGGAAGGTGTATAAACTTCTGCTAAACTAAAATGTTAATTTGATCACTGTCAGAAAGCATCTTTTGTGTGTGTGTCTGTGTTTGTGTTAAGAATTCCTCATGGAATTTGTAGTACAAGATGATCACACTGTTGAAGTAAAGTGAAATCTTAGGTACTGCTAACTTCATCAGGTAACTATCCTTTTTTTCTAGGTTGATTCCCATCATGAAAAAACATCCAGAAATCCAAGGGTGACAATCACTAGCCCACAGGAAAGTGAAGAAAAGGACCAGAGCAATGGCTATGCTGCAGTTGCATAGATCTAAGGAAATGTAATCAGTGGGAAGTGAAATAATACTTTCAAGCATGTTATTTTATGATTTATAGCTTAAAATGGAAAGGTAGATTGTGTACACACATATTGAGTCTTGAGATGATAATGGCATATAGAATAATAGGACATAAACCTTAATATCTACTAAGTAACATTGAATTGTTTTCACAAGATGTGAAATTTCTGGTGGAATTTGAGAGAAAAAACATAGTACTACTACATGGTAATGTTAGAAACATTGGAAATAAACTATTTTGTGGTATAAAATGTAACCATCAGTAGCAGAGTCAACTATACAAATGACAATTGTCAAGAAAAAGGGTAATTAAGTTAAATATCAGAACTTCTTTGCAGGTTCATTTAGAAAAGAGAAATCATTTGTGACTTGCATACTATAAGTAGTCTTTCCCATTGAAATTCCACATGATATATTCTATTTCCAAGTGTAACCTTAAGATAGAAGCAGAATGCTTTGCTCACTTAAAGGATAGCAAAGAAGATGTACTGTGAGTCCTAATATTACTGGGTAGTAGCTTTCAGTATATTAATTGGAATAACTTTTTTTTTGCCTTCTTAAATAGCCCTTTTTTAGCATTGTGAAGATGGGTTGGCAGCCTGCAGTGCTGCAGCTTATTCACACTTGCAACAGTAAGTTTTGCTGGTTGTTCTGCACCAGTTCACCATGCAATGGATTGCTATTACAGTGAAAAAAGAGCAAAGCACAGATATGCAGCAGGTCAGACACGGAGCAGATCAATTTGATTACACTTCAGTTCAAGTGAAATCTAATTTATTAATGAAAAAAAATGAAGAGGCCCAGATTCAGACTGAAATTAGCATGAAATCATTGTTATCAATGGAGCCATTTTAATATGAAACACATTAACATAAGATTACTAGTTTTCACCAGCTGTTATTGTGTCCATGAATCCCTTACATAGCCTTAATGCTTGAAAGTATATTATCATCTTTTTGACTTAGCAAGTTCCTGATAGGCTGTGGCTTAATTTGCATTAGAAAATAAGCCACTGATCCCCAGTATTAGCTCTCTTAATGACATCAACACCATTACTCTTACCAGTTCTCTGTTAGTAATAGCAATTGTTTGTAGATTGTGAAATACAGCCCTGAGCATGATTTCATTAATCATATAAAATACATAGTGAGTTTCCCTATCATTAATGCTGGTAAATTATGACAAAGAGAAACTAAATGTCATTTTTGTTGATTTTTGTGCTGTTAAGACCAAAATTACATTCAGTAACAAATTGAACTTGAAGCACTGTTTGAAGGAAGTGTAGGAAAATTGTTGTGACTGGAACTCATAGAAATATCTGCACTTTTCTACCAACCAGACTGGGAAGCTCCATCTCAGCCCCACCTACTGAAACTTCTTGCAGAGCCCACCAAGGAAAATGGCTAGTGCTCCATCCTCACTCCTTTAGAGGTGAATAGATCAGCAGCAGGCATGGTGTTCAGTGTGCTTAAGAACCAAGACAAATGACAGTTGTCTTGTATTGACATCACTATGAAGAGTTGTTGCCTTGAAGTTAATGGTACACCCAAGCACAGGATTCTACGTGTTGTCATCTTATTGCAGGTGAAATCCTGAACAACCTCTGAGGTTTTTTGCATCCTCAGAGATTTGAAACTAAATCGACAGCCAGACGTGTCTGGCAAAGATGATCAACATTTTCCTCAAAATGTTATACTTAAAACTATATATATATTTAGAAGAAGCACACTTTTGTACGGAGATTCTCTGCTTTCTATTCATAACTTGTGTCTGCCGATTGTTTCGGTCATTTCTCTCTTTTCTGCCAAAGTTCAGTGCTTACAGGCCTACAAATATCAGTAAGAGTTATTTAAAACTTACAGTAAATTCTAGGGAACTGTAATGTGATAATTGTCTTTCATGGGAACGGGAAAATCCCAGAGAGTTACCCAGCCTTTAAAATGTTTTCCTCTCTGCTGTTCATCTTTTACGAAAGACAGAGGATTTTGCTTCAGAAAAACAAACTGGACTTTGGGGAGAGATACAGCCATTTCATCATTTACTCCTGCAGTACTCAGAACACCTACTTTGTATCTGATTCTCTGCACAGAGAAAATTAATTTATGCATAGCAATTCTGATGTTAACAGAAATTAATCAAGAAACATGTGTGTGGTCTTTGCTAAAATATGTTTGTGAATGTGAATTTGCTATGACAATTTAAATCAGTTTTACATGAGAAATATTTCTTTTTCTTAAGCTTATATGGTGTTACTTCAAGCTTTTATGCAACATTTTTTTTTTTGCTTTTTTTTTTTTTTTTAAGACATTTTCTTTCTCCTGGCATTATTTTTAAAAGCAATTTCCTATTAAAAAGAGCTAGCATACAAACACTTCTGCTTTTGTCTCAAATCAAGGCCAGTTTGGCATTAATCTTGGCTTTGGATGACTGATGTTATTTACAAACCTAGCTATTTTTTCAGCTGTTAGGATTCTTCCATCACTAGAACTTCAAAAAAGTCAGAGTTTCCAGTTATGGCATTGCAACCGTGAAAGAAATTCTGCTGATAATTCGTCTCTTATTACAGCAAATAGAAGAATTAATTCCTAATTTCAGCAAAGCTCTAAAGCATATACTTAAATCCTGTAGAGATGCAGTTTGTCATCAAATTTTATTTAATGCTTCAGTGATCTGATGTATCAGAGTCAAAATAACATTAATCTGGAAAGAAAAGTGAAAATAAAGAAAATGCATTCCTTTCTCTGTCAGTCTCATCTAAATAAACCTGCATGCAGGAAAAAAACCCCACATAAATGTTACTTGAAAATACTGAGAAAAGGAGATTTGCTTGGGTATCCTGATTAATTATTCCAAAGGTATATTTAAATAATTATTCAATAATACATGTAAATATAAAATGAAATCTGTTGAGGAAGAATCTATTTATTATGTTGTAACAATCAGAATGACTTCATGAGATGCAGCTGGAGGATGTTTTAGGTGGCTGATAGTCTTCAATTGGAATCAAAAGAAGTGCTTGAGATGTGGCAATAGACAGGTAAGCAGCCTGGTATCTTTCCAGTATTCTTCATGGGCTCATTTGTGTGCATTAACTTATATAAACATAACTGAATGCATTTTTGTCTACTCACACATGCTGCACGTGCAACTGATGTACATAATGGTAGTTTAGCAGTGTTCTATTTTCAGCAATGGGAGCTATTGATGATTAGTCAAATTAGTTATAACCATGGGAAAAAACATATGACAAAATCTAGCAGTAGCCAAGCTTATGAAAGGATGATATTTTAAGTTGCACACATACTTTTGCTCTTTGCTGAGCCAAGTCCAGAGCGCTTATGGCACTGAAGTGAAATGGAAATAACAACCTAAAATTGCCTGGGAGGAAGTTTGCTCATAAGAAAGTGGAAAGGATATGGAAAATTCAAGAAAAAATGAATATATTTACTACAGCACGTGGCAGGAAAACATTCAAAGGTCTTTAGTCTACGCTGTTGCATAGAGGATTTCTGCCTTATACAACAGATATCTTGAAACAGTAGGCAGACATTCAACAATCTATGCTGTGTAACTATGAGTATCTTTAAGTGTTCATATTTTCCTTGCAGATGATGCTCAGTTGTGACACTCGAAATTTAATAAATTAACTTTAAATACGATTTGAATTTTTCTTTGTGCTAAGTGGAACCAAAATTGAATTCAAAATGCAGGTTTTATTAGTTGAGATTAGCTGACTAATCCCTAAAAAGCTTCAAAATCTCTTGCTTGGCATGAACTAGAAGGAATCTAATTGTCCATAAAACGATTCACATTTCTACACAACGAGAACATACAAACTCATTGACTATGGTTAGCAGATTTTCAAAGGCCCAAGTTCATCTACTATTTATGCTTGAATCCTTGGTTTAGAATGCAGGCATTTCTATGCAAAAACCAATACAAAGTCTTTCTCGTGTAAGAATTGTTTGTGCACGTTCACTCTCATTTTCTGGATTCCTGTTGTACTCCCACTGATATGCAAGTGAAGCAGGTGAAGTCAAGCTCCTAATCCAAGTGTTACCTGGAAAATCATTTTTAAAGGCATTTACTTTTTTCCAGACTCCAAAGCCAACACACAAAATCCAAGCTCAGCACACTCAACCTCGATGGCTACAGGCTCCCTTTCTCCAGTTTGTGACTGGAGGAAACACTGCCCTCTTGACGATGATGCAAAGTATCTCAGATCCTAGCTGGGTCACCTTTAATGGACTGACTGGCTGTCGAGGCACCTTAAGAATTAGCCTAAAAAAGACAAGGTCTGCTTGGGATCCACTTTAAACTTCCCCCTTTCTGCCATAATTTCAAGCACCTGACTTCACAGGAAGGCAAAATGTTAGCTGGCACCTGCAGAAAGCAGCCCAGTGATACATCGTGTAGCTCCCTTTGCCATAAATTCAGATGCTATTTTTTTAACGTGCGTGAAATAAAGCATAGCTTGTAAAGGTGGCATGTAGTGAAAATCTGGATGGTAAAATGGCAGAGTGCTTTTGTTAACAGGAAGCAGACAGGTATACAGAGTTGAGTGCTTTTCTCTGCAGCAGCACTTGTAATTTTGGATTTTCTCCTTCAGTCTCTTTGCGAAGGAACATAAAGCACATGAGGCCCCCTAAGGGATGTGGAAAAAAGCAGAATCTGGCTGCTGGATACTTGGGTTGCTGTGGCTCAGATAAATGGGGAGGTGCCAAATACAGAGGAAGGGCCTTGTACCCCACACCTGAATGTTTCTAGAGTCAGTGGGATGACCTTCAGGAGATGGGGTTGTGATGCTGTGCTCCCCAGAGCTTCATGCTTTGGCCTGGCCATTGCACCCAAGTCCTTGTTAAGGCAGGCAATGAAATGCCCAGGACAGATAACACCAAAGCAAATGACCACACACTGTCTCAAACTTTAGTGCTCAGGGAACTGATGGCAGATTCCTGGTTCAAAAGCTGAAGGCCAATTGAGCATGCACCAAAACTGTGACTTACGAGTCGGTCATCTTACTTCATAAGCAGTGAGCAGATCAAGAGCTCCCTGAACTCTCCTGAATGGCAGCAGGCCACACAACAGGATCTCCCCTTCAGCTAGGATTCTATTGAGATTACAGAGATCCCTTACACCTTGACAGTAGGATGTCTAGCTGATACAGATACTTGGTAAGTGATTATTCATTTGCTTAAGTTTTGTCAGCTGCACTAAGATTATATCTTATGTGCCTTCTGACAAAGCCTCAGACTGGGAATAGATTCAGCAGCACCTGGGATCCTCACCTCTATGATTCAAGCAGTTTAGAAAAAAAAGGGGATCCACTCTGAATCTCGTGATTCAGTGAGAGGGTCCCTGGCTGAATTTGTTTAACCCTACCCCACGTGCAGTAAATAATCAAGTGTACCTTGCCAACTTGACTCTTGTTAATTCACTGTCTTGATTTGTCAAGCCTTATTAAATCACTGTGTTTCATCACCAAATACATTTCTGTTTCTCTCTTAGGAGTGAAATAGTTTCTGCAGGTGATAGAGGCCCACTCTTTTGCCTTTGCTTTCACATGGGCGAGTTGATTCTTCTGCTCTTGAGGAAAAAAATATATATTCAGGCTTTAGCATTCATTGATACACAGATTTTTCTACCTCTCTCAGTTGGGAAGGGCTGCTTGATTTGAGTAGGGTGCCGATTTATGCTTCCTATCTCAGTGAGTAAATGGTGTCAGGGATGAGCAGTCACTCTCTGATGACTCTCTGGACACTTGTGCAAAGCTATCCCTGTTTGCTCTTCTGCTGTGGACTGTGCTTTCCTAAAACACACCGTTCCTCTATTTCTCTGCTGAATTTGTTCCTTTCATTTGGTTATGAGAAATGATCTTTCCAAAAATAGTGCTTACGCTCCACGTTGCTTTTCTGTTAGAGATTGTCAGTGCAAAGTGAACATCCTAGGAAAAGCCTTTGTGCCTTCCCTTTCTGTTCTCTTATTGTTCCCTCAGAGCTAGCACCAAACAGGAATTAACTTGGTAAACTAAGGACTGGGGTTTGTGCCTGCTGGATGAAAGTATTCTCTATCCACAAAGAAAGAAATAGTCTTCCTTCATTTCTCTCTTTTCATGCAACACCATGTTTTTCAAAGTGACTCGAGGGTTCATTTCTTAAAGAACCACACGGTTATAAATGACATCACAGAAAAAGGAAGGTAGGGTAACTAAACCTCTTGGGTGCTTCTGTCACTGAAAGCCTGTTACTTCCACCAGCAAATGAGAAGAAGTGAGCATATCACTTCTGTATCAAAAAAGATCCACGTAACTTTCATGCTGTAAGGAACCATGTACTTTAGAAGCACATATATATTGGTGCTGTACCCATTTGTTTTCTAGCACGTGTCCCTTTTAGCCTCTCTAACCCTTTTACTTGCTCACCATGCATACAGGCATCAAGCCTATGCTATACTACATCCCCATTTACAAACGGGATGCAGGTTATTTTCTTAAACATCTGTGGCTTCTGCATTTTGCTAAGGCCTGAAGGCTTTCATCGGGGCAAAGATCTAACTGCAGCATGTTTACTAACTACATAGGCATGTTTAAAGGTGAGACATAATTGGACCAAATAACCCATTGCTTTCAACAGTTACGTGATTGTCTGCAAGTCAGCATGAACTAGTCAGAGTCCATTCTGTGATTTTTGAGGGGATGAGCTGCAATCACCTCCCTTTAATTTGCAGCAAACGACCAAGCCCATGTCACAAGTAGCTCAGAGACTGTTATGTCTTACTGAGGCGAAACTGAAGAGCTTGGCTCTCAGGGCAGGTGTGCAGATCCTAAAGCAGTTTTGGAATATTTCTGCAGACTCACTGGCTGTCAGAGCTCAGCTGCAGGACAAAGCTGAAAGAAGCTACTGCTGGGTCACAGCAACCTCCTCTGCTCTGCTTTGGATTGACAGTGTGGCTTGCTTTGCAGGGTCAGGTGCAGGTGAGCCCACTTGGTTACACTCTTACAAAGAAAGGAGGGCAGAACGCCCACCAGCCTGTCTGGTTGTTACAAGGGCACTCTGACCATCTATGCTTCTTGGAGACAGTGGAGACGTGCTCAGCAGAAGGATTTTGTCTCAGCACATTTTTGCTCCAGTTTGGAAAGAAATCACTTTGCAAGGGATGAGGTGAGAACTGAACAAGTTTGAGCAAGATGTCAGAAAACACGCAGAGCTTAGGAGGGAAATGTCAGGGCACAAGGTTGCTAGGTGAGGCAGGGAGAGAAAGGGCAGCAAGCACTGCAGCTGGTAGAAGAGCAGAGATGGGGAAATAATGACCTCCAGAAAGAGCTCAGCCAGCTCATCCATATGGCCTCAGGCTGGAGGCTGCTTTTAGCTAGGCAACAGCTTGAAGGCACAAGTGATTACCGGACCAGTGTATCTGGTGTATCATTAAATTGACTGGCTTATTAGTTGCATTTAAAAATGATCTTCCATCTTTGTTTGCTAAAACCCATACATGGTAAACGATGGAAAAAGTGGACCTTCAAAAACCAGCTGCAAATGATTAGACAAAACAATAAAGGCAGTTCCTTACACGCTGCCTCTTCTGTTTGCATGGCCATGAGAAATGCCTGACTTACTGTTAATATGCAGACGTTATTTTCATAATAGTCTCTCTGTAAATTATCTGACAGCAAAGCTGAGCTTTGCCCTGCTTAATGTACATCAAGTGAACTAATACAGGAAGCACACACTGCGTGGTCTGCCTGGCGTCCTGATAAGAGCAGAGGAAATTAAGGGTGTGAGTGGATTGTTTGCCAAGCCATGAGAAGGTTGCCCAAAGAGCACACAATCCGAATACAGGAAACAAGAACCTACAGGGGTCTCCCCATTTGTGACGATGCTCCTCAGGGACATGCTGTGCTGTGGGGATGAGTTGGCAAAATCCAGGTGTTGCTTCTGTATAGAGCATCATGTTATGCTGTACTGCTAGCCCAGGAGATCTTAGAGAGCAGCCTGCTGTGCAGGGGCAGGGTGATGGCTTGGAATGAGTGAGCGGATGCGCTAATGTCTTTATTTTAGCCCTCTGATAGAGAGCTAGTGGCAAAGTACCTCCGGCTTTGGTTCTTGCAGTCTTTACTGTCAGCACAGGCTTTCACAGCCTTCGTGGCTGATCAGCAGGCTCCCCAGGATAAAGGTTCTGTGCTGCTCTCTGCCTGCCAAGCCTCTCTCCTCTGGCTGCTGGTCGAGGTGCTGCAGTCTCCCCACACTGCTGCTTTCATTACGAGCTGTTTACTTGCACTTGTGCGTGATTAGAAAGCTCATACTTGGAAATGGCAGGCTGAGGCTGTAGCAGAGACTGGGAACTAAATGTGCTTATCAGGCAGCTCAGGAGTTGAGGATGCTTCAGCTTCTCTGCCTTAGGCTGTGACTCACTGGGCAAATTGAAAATAGAAGGGTCAAGACAGCCTGCAGGGAGGAAGAGCGAACAGATGAGAAGCTTTACCTCCACAGTATGACAGAGAACGCAGACACAACCATCAGGAGAGCATGCATTAATCAAAATTAATTCACTGATTATCAGTCAAACAGAAAAATGTTATTTATTTTGCTACAATTGCAGAGAAAATGCTGTCGGGATACAAGGGGATTCACTGAAATTTCAAGATATATAAAGCTAGAAGAAGGGGAAGAAATAGGGTGAATGTGAATAAACTAATAAGACTGTTGAGCAGGGAGGTAAACAAGCAGGAAATAAAGTCTCTGATGTCCAAGCCATATTTTATTTGCACTAAGTAATACATTAGAGTGTCCTTTGGAAAGGTGATGGCAACCAAGGTCTGTAGGCAAAGTCCCAGACAGCCCCAGAGTGCAAGCTCTGTGATTTGGGGGATGGGAAAAGATAAATGGTGGAGGAAAGATATATGCAAGGACAGACTGTCCTCAGCCTCACTGGAAGGTTCCAGGGAGCTGGGCTGTCCTTCACTGCTCCCAGCTGAAGGCTGCATCACTGACATTTTCCATGGAAGCAGCAAAAAGCACATCTCTGCTCCTCTGATGCTTCAGTTTCTGTGCCAAAGGTGGAGGGTGTCAAGACATTACAAGGGACCAAATCCCAAAAATGTTTCTAATGAGTCTTAAACTGTCTGGTATGTGACTTCTTAATAATAACAGCATAACTCAATGCTCAGTATTTCCAAAAAAGCCCTGTGTGGCACAGAGCTTCTGTTCCAGAATGTTTCAGCCTTCCAAGTTCTCAGTGCCTGAAAATCTCTAACTGAAACAAGGGTTTAACAAGATGAAATGTATGTGGCAACATTAGCTGTGACAGCGTTACCAGCTTTGCCTCAGCTGCTAAATCTCCAACGTTTCCTATCCCAACAAGCATTAGAATGATCCTTGAGGGCTTTTCTTTCTCCTAAAGCTGGGTAATGCCACGCATGACTCATCCTTTCTCACACTGTCAAAGCACGTTCAGTTCTGCAGACATGATGCACAGTGTGACCAAATGCTTGTTGCAGCTCCGTTTGCTGTCAGGTCACTTGTCCTCTGGACAAAACTCAGCAGCACTTGCACACATGTGGGGTGCATATGAAGACCTGTACTCCCATACAGCTACTTTAGGTAAATAAGCCAAACCTGTTATGTTTGTTTGTTTGTTCCAGATGGATTTTCAGTCAGACTTTTGCTATTGCATTAACAAAACACAGGTGCAGAGATAGGACTCGGTAACATCTGCAGGAGCCATCATTCTCAGCTCCTTCAAGTGAACTTCACCGCAAAACTTCAAATGCCACATCTCCTCCACGAACAAATCTTAAACTAAAAACTGCACTGAAAAGGTCAGGACAGCTTGATTCTCTGCTGCCCACGTACTGATAAGCTGACAGCAATGAAAGCAAGTAGCAGTAACCAAAATTTCCCAGCCAGGAAAGTGATAAGCACTCTACCTGGAATAACTAAAGAGCAACAGGGACTTCAGCTCTACTCCACATTCCCATCCTTGCAAGCAATCAACTCTCCTTATCCTTCACTATCAAGTTCTCACTACTTTCTTTTTAAACAATACACAGCTCTTCTTTTTATCACTCTCTCCACCTTTTCCTCTTCCATGCTATTTTTATCTGCTTCTCCTGAGATTACAATCCTGTTTTTTAAGCATTGGGTGCAACATGCTTTTGCATGTCTCATACATAGCTGCCAGCCAATTGTAAGCAGCATCCCAAGATATGCTTCACTGCATTCTACGTAATGATGTGCTTGTGACAAGCTCTTAACTGGACATTTTAGTGCTGGCATTCGGATGTTGTACTTGCATTGCTTAGACAGGCAGTTCTCATTTCTTTCAGAAGAAGATTTTACTTCTGATGCTGTTGTCAGCCACAGTAATTGTTGCAAACTCAGCTGAAGCTTCCAAATATATTCTGATTTATTTATATCACGGAAGTCTGAACTGAGTCACAGACCACAAAATGTTTTATCAAGGAAAGGAGCAGAGCTATTCCAACACACTTGTTACTGTGCAGACACTTTTGGATTCAGCACGCCCTAAGTCCGAAAACACAGACTGCATTATCAGAATGGTGAGTTGCAACTTCTCTTTTCTGACTGAACCAGAGCAACTTGTTTGACTAGAAAGAGACTTTTCACAAAATCTGGGATTGGCTCAGGCCTAGAATTTTATTCAATCCATTCAAAAAAATAGACAGAACTATAAGGTGGCACATATCGTCAGAGAGTACAAATGTCACATCTTCCTTTATACAGCTGAATTCAAATCCATAGATTAAGACAGTGAAATAATTGCCCTGGGTGAGAAAATAATAATGAAGGGCCTCTGGAGAAAGAACAAGTCTTCAGGTAAGCATTTACACAAACGTATCTGTCTGGTAAGCATAACTTTCTCTATAATCTATAAAAATATAAACAGCATTTTAAAATGTCTTCAGATAAGTATGTTAAGGTCATTTGACCTGGCATTAATGTCCTGACAGAAAACGGGGCCTGGGCATGTCAGACCACACCTAGTAATCCATGCCTGGCCACAACTGAAAATCTGTATGAGCTTCAAACAATACAATGTAAGGAAAGAAACAATACCAATCCAAAGGAACACAAGAACGGTGCCCCTCCTTCCATAAGAATTCCTCATCTTTGCCTTGTATTTTGTATGTATATAATAGGGCGATGATTGAGAGAAAAGTGGCAGTTCTCACAGACTAGTTGGAACTCTGGATCAAGTATAATTTGCCTCTCCCAGAAAGTAACATTACTGGGAAGTGTGCCAGTCTCCAACTAAGGGCACCCCAATGCCATTGCATGTTACACCTGTGCGTTATTACTTCAACACAGACAGCAGCACGTGACAGGATGACAAGTGCAAATTACAAGGGCAGAGTCTTGGCTTTCTGGATAGCAGAGCTAGGCAGTAAACGTACTTTAAAGACAAAGAGAAAACAAAGTAGAACACCAACTCATCTAAATGTTAAGGAGCGGGATGGAGGGTATTCCTGGCATAGCTGTCATAACTGCACCTTCTATGTTTTTTTAGGGAAGCAAAATACCTAATCATTGTTGCAAGGTCTTACTGTTTCAACACAGATTAAAATGTTTGAATACACTGAATACATTGGTTACGGGTCCAATCACACAATTTCACTTTTTCCAATCCTAAATTTATATTGGAACAGCTTCCCAATCAGCTGTGCTTTTGTATAGCAGAACATTTGATATTGTAACTGACTAGCACATATGTCATACATAACAACAGCTGATATTTTTCCAGTGAAGTGATCTGCAAAGGGAGAAACAAAACCAAAGGGTCAGGTTTGAGATGAAGGTTGGACGTTTTGAACTTTGGACAAAGTGACAGGTATCTTTGATTCTCCTGGTGCTGGCGCTTTTGTGACTGGGTTTGCATGGGCTTTTATATCTGCTATCCTCTCTTTAAATCTTTGCTGGAGGTACTTTTCTTCTTTGGAGTAACTTTTAGCAAAAGCAGCCATCAGCAGACATGCTGCCATGGCGGTTCCTCCAATGCAAAACAGAATTGCTCCTGACAGCTTGCATATATCAAGGGACCCATTGAACTGAATGGCACGGGTATCCACTACAACAAAATCATCTTTCCCAAGAGCTTCGATTTTCGGTGGCACAAGAAAACCCACGACAAGAACCATTAAACCAATCAGCATGAAAGCCGTCCCAGAGACGAGTCCGACCTGGAAAACAGAAAACGTAACAGTGAATATGATCTTTCAGGTTTTGATTAGGAACTGGTTCTAGAGAGCTTTTAGCTTCTAAGTGTCCTGCAGGTACAGCTCCTTGTTCTTCAGGCAACATTTTTTTCTTTTGAGTGGCTCTAGTAGAACTGGAACATACAGAGGAATGTTCTTTTTACAATTCGTGCTTACACAGTCAGTTATCAACATTTCTGGGAACAACAGAATTACACATCTGTACTTCTGAAAAGCACCTAGTGACCAAAGGCCCCAACACAGGGAAACTTACAGTCTTACCCCAGCAATGCAAGATTAATGATTTCTTTAGCTTTAGGTGGTCGTTAGCACCAACAGTTCAGTCCTTGCTAGTATATGTCATGTTCATCACTTGTTAGGTATGGCTGTAATAATTTTTCTAGCACAATTCAACTGTAAGTGCAAAGTTTGATTCACATAGGATGGCCCTACCATCAGCAGAAGGGCTGCATTACATAATCTCCACAGTTCCCTTCCAACCTTTTGCACTCTCAGATTCTCCAACTTCCCTGCTCTTCATGGAGAGCTTATAGTCAGTTGGGCTTTTTTAGGTATTTTTTTGATGCTCAGGACACACAAACCCAGGGTTATGCTGTTAACCTACCACTACCATTTGTAATTATCTGATGAAGTATTACATTTTGAATTTGGGAAGCCCTGCCCATAACAAGACTCGGATGTTTCAGTGACAGAGCTCCTTGTGACAGAGAAACCAGAGGATCCAAGAACTCCAGAACTCCCTTGGAAGCTGATGTATCTTGGTTTAAACAAACAAGAATTCCTAAGACAGACTGTCATTCAGTCATCACAGTGAAAGCTGAGCACCAAGGGTTTTCTGGATATCCAAAATCATTAGTTACACGTGAACATCTCAACATCAGAGTTTCTCTCCCCAGTAACCAGCAAAGGGCAGTACCTTCCAGAATGCAGAGCTCCACCTGCTAGGCGATCTCTGGATCTGAAAATCATCCTCGTACTCCCAAATTGAAGCTGTGCAGTCCTCATAAAACTGATGCAGGTAGGACCGAACTCCATAGCGTTGGTAACCTCCCTCGGTGCTGCCCTGCGCATGCTTGGACCCGCAGATGTCAGCATAGGAGCTCATCCTTCCTGCCTGCAATGAGAGGTTTCATGCAAAGTGGGTCTAGTTACTGACATGGTAAGGTGAGGAAAGCTGGCTGCGTATGTTTCAGGTGACACGAAGAAAAGCAGCCTAGGTAATGAGCAGTGACTCAGCTCAAGTAGACCTGGGCAAATCAGAGCCTACAGTTTGCTGCAGAAACATCCCACCCATAGGTAGAACGCCTGTCATTCAGACTTAGTGATGGTTTCTCTGGAGACTGAACAAAGCAGAAGCTAGGGAGACAACATCTCTCAAGGGCAGACTCCAGCTCTATGAGTTAAGTGGAGTTTGCAACCTCACAAATTTTCCAGTTGCTGAGTGAGCTTTTTAAAAAGCTTGAGCTTCTGAAAGGTAGGACTAAGCACTGATGTAGCATTCACAGCCGTAAGAAACACTGGCAAAGTAAGACCTAGCACTTAAATATAAATAGTTGAAAATAAAAAAAAAAGATGGAATGCCACAATACCACTGATCTGCTCACCAGAGGGTGAAATGCAAATACTAAATTTGTGGCAAATTGATGTTCCCTTAGAGAATTCAATGCCCAGGCTCCTGCTGACTCTAATAAAAAAATCTGAATTTTATTAGCTGTTTTCATAGCAGACAATGTTCCCTACCCTTTCCACTTCACTGAAGTCATTGTAACACAGAAAATTTGTGTTTATCTATGCAAGTAGGAGACCTGAACTTGCACAAGCGTGATGCTACTGAATTCATTAAAGTAATACCAATGCCTACAAAACTTAAGCAGCAGGTCAGTATTATTTAAGCTGACTTGTTTCTCTTTACAGAGTTCAAAAAGTCCTGGCCCAAAGGGAACTGTTAATGAATACCCGAATCTGAGTGTCACAACTCAATTTACCAGCTTCACACTACTACAACTGGTTCATCCAATTGCCACTGCCATTTTACTTGGAAGGAAGGATTCATGTGCTTGTTGCAATCAGGACCTTCCAATTTTGCTGACTCTAGTCCCTGTGCCCTTCTGGAATGTGTGATCTTGTCATGTATGTGATGCTTGACTATATGAGGAAAAAAAAAACACTTTTGCATTCAGTTTAAGCAGGAGCCAGCACAAGCCAGTAGGGAATGGCAGCCAGCTGAAACTCTTGATTCTGAAACCAGTGCTGGTATGACAGTGATCTCCTAAACTTTAGGAATTTGGCTGTGTTCTTGGTCAACTGACAGAGGGCTTTGCTGTTTCCTCTTTATTGCTAGCAGTAATCTCAGCTATTGTTTACTCTCTACATTTTATATGCATTTAGTTTGAGATTTCATGATCTCAAAGTCTTACAAAGGCAAGCTTCTCTATTATGACTCATGGCGAGGTTTCAAAGCTCTCACAGAAGCGAGACCTCAGTAACGGGAGGCCCAGTGCCTCTGAGCCTGAGGGCTGGCTTGCTCCCTGCTAACAGTGCAGTGTTACTGCCCTCCAGCACACGCAGGGCAATCAATGTCCTTGCCAGTGCATGGAAACCTTGGGACTGCAGGAAGGTTTTGCCTTGCACCGCACCAGCCGTCTGCTCTGCATCCTGGCCACCACGTGCACAGAGCTGCCCAGACAGCTCCCACACAAGCTGCTCAACCGCTGCTGAGGGCATGACACCATGAGAACACAATCTGAACCCGTGCAGGGAAACTCTGGCAATTATTCTGTTTTTCAAGACTGCTCGTTCTTTTGCCAAAGAGGCCTTTCTATGTCCCTTGGGAGTCTCTCCTGCTGTTTGTTTCCTGACCAAAAAGAAAGGGAAAAAGAAAGTCCTCTCTTTTCAGTGCTACCATGTCTTCCCTAGCTAGCTAGCTGCCATCTTCTACAGTACGAGCACTAAGAGAGCTCTGCCTATCCAGTACAGAAATATTTTTTCTCAAAGAAGCAAATCTAAACCAAAAACAGAACATCATCACCTTAAGGGAGAACTGGGGAAGGTCATCTATGTGTAGAATACTCTAGTCTGGCAGGAGACATCACACAATGAACAGGATTCCTAGGTCCAGCTGATTTTGTAATATCAGGGCAGCGAAGGACCAGACCCAGTACGGCCAGATAAGGGGTATGCCAAAGCTCCCTTGCTTTGCACCAGCTGCCACCAGGAGACAATTTGAGAGCTTTTTTCCCTCTCAAAGACTGGAAGGAAGATAGAGCAGAACCAGCAACCATAGTTTGTTACTATTAATTCAAGAACGTATCACATAATGTGACTGAAATCTGTACAAATATATTTCTCCTGGATTCACAGCACTGTCTGTATGTTTATTTGTCAAGAAACATAAAGGATGGTTTGGTGTTTCTAACAGCTTGATGAAGAATTACCTGCAGGAAACACAGCCCATAACCACTTATGTTATGCAGGTTCTTCTTCTTTATCAATCTAAAATGGTAATTGGTGGTTTTGGTCAGGCGTATGTGCAAAATGATAAATAAGAGCTTGGAAGGCTGAATACAAAGCAAAATAAAAGAATGATCTTTTGGTTGAAAGACCTGCGACAGTATCAAGTAGAATGACCTTTTAAAATGAAAAGAAAGAAAATACTCAAAAGGACCAGGTCTAGCCAGCATCATTAATTCTTCCTAAGCACTGCATAATATTAGTTCTAGTTTTCTTTATGCTCAGACTCTTCCACTTACAATAAGAGATCTCCTACCTTTTGGAAAACCTAGTCCATTAGAGAGATGGGAAAAGGCTTCCCAGCCCTATGTGACTGACTGAAGCACTCTGGCAACTGGGCCTGAGATGGGCTCTTCTCTCAGCTGCAGCGCAAACATAATGTTGTGGTTCTTGCTATGTACTGATGTGGCAGAGGAACTGGAACAGGGTTTGGTAGGAAAATCAGTTTGACTTCAATATGGAGGAAACATGTCTGCACCAATTTACGTTGGATGAATAAATACTGCAGTAGCTACGTCTTCTTGAGCGTTGGTGTCTATTTGCATGTCTCACCTCCGTGGCTGAGAAACTAAATGCTGAGATGTTGGGAAACTTGCTAGGGAAACAGAATCACTGCTAGGCAGACCTGCATTAAGCATGGGCTTAGAGCATGCATCCAGGCCTCAGGAAGCAGTTTATCTTCACAACTTTTCCAGCATCTAAAGCCCCAAACGTCTGGGAACACGTGGGGCGGATGGTGGCAGCTCCAAAGCACGCCACTGCGTAGTAGCAATTCATCCCTTAGCAACTTTTGTTTCCATGGCAAACGCTGTCCTGTTTACTTTGTGCTTTACTATTCTCCACCGATCCTGAGAGATGTGACCGATCGGGGAGCGGGCAGACAAAGAGAGGAGCACGCTCCGTGTAAAACTGCCTCCCTAACTTTGCAATACTTCTTATTGAAAACGCTTAAAAAAAAAAAAAAAAAAAAAAAAAAAACCACAAACAAACACAAAAGGGAAAGGACGCTTTTGGATGAGCCACCGCTATTTGACATCACTGTGAATCGCAAACGTCATCTGCAATGACTCCAGCGGGTTCTCGGTCTCTGCTTTCTCCGGATGCACGCGCACACCGCGACCCTCCATCCCCCGCTGTAGCGACGGGACCAGACCGGTACGAAGGTCGCACACCGACACCAGCACCTCCCGCCGCAGCCCCCCGGCCTGGATCAGCCGCGCTGCCCGTCCCCAAAGCCCTCTTCCCAAGCCCAGGAGCCGACCAGCCGGCAGCGCCCAGCTGGTAGAGCCGCCTGTCCGCTGCGATCCCGGCCGGCCGCGCGTTACCTGTCCCTCCCGCCGCTCCCCTCGGCCGGCTGAGCAACCGCAGCGGCGCTAGCTGCGGCTCTCTCGGCCCGGTCCCATCTCCGTTCTGCGTCGCGCCGGCCCCGATCACCACGTATTATGCACGGCCCGGAGCGCCGCTCGCACCGTGCCTGCGCACTGAGAGCCGCCGCCGGGCCGGCCGGCCCCGCCGCCTCCGCCCCTGAGGGGATCGGCGAGGAAAGGCGGTGTAAGCAGGGAGGTGGGAGCCGAGAGCCGAACGGAGTGCAGAGGGAGTGTCTGGATAACGGCAGCGCTCCGCGCTCCGCGGGGTTTGGCTTGTTGGATGAGGAAAAGTCGACAGGGAGCTGGAAGAGGGACAAAAGCAGTCAGCTGAAGTCGCGTCTTTTTTGAGATGCAGCGGGAAGCCCTGCGTCTGCCCTGGTAGAGTTATAGAATCCTTAAGGCTGGACAGAACGCCAGTCATGTAGTGCAGCCATCGACCTGTCAGCACAACGGCTGCCAAACCTTGGTGCCGTATCTACCCTTGAACACCTGCAGGGACGTGACTCCAGCACCTCCCTGGGCAGTCTGCTCCAATACCTCACCGCTCTTCTGAGCAGAAATTTTACCCCATACATCCAACCTGAACCTCCTCGGCCACAGCTGGAGGCCGTTACCTCTCATCGTATCGCTATTACACAGGAGAAGAGGTCGACCCTATCTTGGCACAGCCTCCTTTGAGGCAGTTGTAGGAAGTGGTAAGGCCTTCCCTGAGCCTCTCTTCTCTAGAATAAACAATCCCAGTTCCTTCAGCTGCTCCTCCCATGACCTCTCACGTGCTTTGTTGCCCTTCTCTGGACACGCTCCAGGTCCTCAATGTCTTTCTTGCATTGAGGAGCCCAAAACTGAACGCTGTACTTGAAATGCAGCCTCACCAGGGATGAGTACAGTCCTAGTCGTGCTGCTACACTATTTCTGATACAAGCCAGGATGCTGCTGGTCTTAGCACACACTGGCTCCTGTTCAGCTGGCCGTTAGCTAACATCCACAGTTCATTTTCCTCCATGCAGCTTACTAGCTACTCTGCCATAAGCCTGTAGGGATGCACAGTGTTGTTGTGACCAAATTGCAGGACCCGGCACTTGGTCTTGTTATAGCTCATACAGTTGGCCTCAGCCCATTGATCCAACCTATTCAGATCCCTGTGTAGGGCCTTCCTACCCTCAGGCAGATTAACCCTTCCTCCCAGCTTGGTGTCATCTGCAAATTTACTGAGGGCTTTATCAACAGGTTGGCTGTTCATCAGGATAGGGCTTCCAGTAAGCAAGTTTGAGGAAGCAAGGAAGACAGCAAGGGATGAGCTAGAAGGCATGGCAAGATGCTGAGATGTGAAGTTGCTAAAAAGTGTCCCACAAAAGGGCAGTGTGCACTTTCTCTGGGAAAATAATAACGGGAACATAGAGAAAGAATTCTGAAGAGTCATTTAAAATACTCTACTGCAGTACAGACAAAAATACAGTATCATTACATATGAGAAGTATGGAAGTACTTTAAAGCAAAATGGTGTAGCATTAGCCAAAGTAAAAATAATGTATTTTTGAAGTGCTTAAACCCATACGGTATTTGAAGAAGAAGATAAAAGTAATGGTGGTTTAATTAATTTTATGTCAGATCAACTATATCTCTTCTATAGAAAAAATAATTAATGTACACTAGCTGTCCTCTTTTCACAAGGTAGTTTCTTTTTTTGGTTATTTTAGGTTATTTTTAGGAGGAAGTTTTTCACCCAGAGGGTGGTGAGGCACTGGCACAGGTTGCCCAAGGAGGCTGTGGATGCCCCATCCCTGCAGGCATTCAAGGCCAGGCTGGATGTGGCTCTGGGCACCCTGGTCTGCTGGTTGGTGACTATGAACACAGCAGGGAGGTTGAAACTAAATGATCTTTGAGATCTTTTTCAACCCAGGCCATTCCATGACAAGAAAGTATTATAGCAATTGGGATATTTGCAATATTTGCAATAATGTCAAAAAGGATCCTTGAACTGTGAGTTATCAACCTTTAAAGTTAAGCACTGGTAATATCAGAAGGTGATTTTGGCATGGTTTGGTTGGGAGGAGAAGGTTGTTTTCTGACGTACAAGTGCAGCTGCACTGTACCAATAAAGGTCAATATTTGCTGTTTATGCCTTTCAAATTCAGTCCCTTCTGGCTTGCCTGCACTTAGCACCAGAGGCAAACAACTGCTGCCATTGCTGAATTCACCATTCCCATCACTGTCCCCAGCCACGAGGCACACATGGCTGAGCTGATATGTGGCTGTGCTAGTGATGGACACCAGCTGTGACTAATAAATGAAAGAGTGAAAGGGGAGAGGATGTTTGCAGGAGGGGGTGGAGGAGGCTGTATGTTTCTGTGAGGAAAGCTGTGAGCTCAGTCTGATGCTGGAACTGAGCATCAAGTGTAGTGACCTTGGTTATGAGAGGCACTGAACAGAGGAGTATAAATGTTCATTTAGCTGAGGAATTGCTAACGTCATTGTAAAGGTTATTTTTAGAATGCCAGTATCTGTAAGTCTTACTGTGACTTGTGATGTGAGCTACTGTTTTATGAAAGAATTTCCAAATCTACATTATTCTCAGTTTTCAGCTTTCATAAGATGTGGACTGTATTTATAGTGAACTTTTCAGCTGGCAGTGGAGTTAAGAGTAATATCTTTCTGTTTCAAGCTGTAGAATTCTATTAACTTGACTTTTTCCTTTGGGATGAGGGAACTTAAGCTAAGCCTTCTACTTTATTTAGCTAAACCATGCTAAAGGTTTGTGATGGGCAATGGTGAGCATGCTGAGGAAAAGATCCCATACTGTGGAGCACTTCTGTAGGTGGGGGTGGTGGTGGTTGCCATAGAGTTTACAGGCTTCTCTCTTGCTGGGAGGTGAAGCAGTGATAACACAGCTTGGTGAACACAGTTTAGTTAACTTCTGGCAGCCTGTGCTGAACAGGAGGAATTGCAACTTCTGGGAAATGTGTTTCTCTTGTAGCGATATACTGCAATTGGTATGATGCTCATGTTCACTGAGCAGCAGATGTCTGTCCATATTTGTCCAGCAGCCATGGCAAGCTTCCCGAGGCTGTTCTGTTTCATATGCTGCAGAAAACCGTGGCCAGAACAGTTCTGCCCTAGTGACATTGTTGCCACCTTCACCTTCACCTGTTCTTCTCCTCCTAGTTTCTGGCTCACCTGCAGCTAGGCTCTATAATGCTCCCACTTTCTGAGGAAAAACTGTGGTTAATTTGGGAAGTTCTAAATAATGGTGTTTGCTTGTTTGTTTTTGTTTTGTTTTGCTTGTTTCTATGCGCACAAAAAGATGTGATATCATTAAGAAAATAAATTAAAAAAATGCAGAATGCAGGTGAAATTCCCATTCCACAGAGCTGTGTAAGGTGACATCCATGTGTTTAATGGGAATCCTGAGCTTCTGAGGTCCTGGATATATTTGTACTCAATTTGTTCCTGTTTTTGAGTGCAAAATGAGTCCCTATGCATGGAATCCCTTGACACTTCTCTACATCTCAAGTGAAACTGAGCAACACATTGGTGATGTCTTAATGAGACCTGTCCCTGTGGAACCACAAGGAGCAGCTCAGGCATCCAAAGGGGATCCGTTCCTTCCTCACAGTGGATGGACAGTAGGAGAGAGGTGGGAGAGCTGCTTTTTCACTGCAGAAATTGCTAATAGAAGCCAGAAGTAGAAGGAGCTTATAGCTGCTATTTACCATTTAGGTGGTACATCTGGGTGGGGAGAAATGCTGGGGAGGAATGGGGTAGAAGGGGTAGGGTCAGTTTAGGTCTGTAGTACTTTTCTGGTGATCTTCTTGCAGCCACGAGGATTCTGTAAGCATAAAGGCAGCAGTTTTGCATCTCTTTCTGTTGTTTCTCCCATGTGACATTAAGAGCAGATGCTCTTATTACAGTGTCCTGTAGCCATGCTATTTTCTGACAGCAGAATCTGGAGAACAGATCTGTATCAGTGAAAATTCAACGTGCAGGGTTAGTTCAGGAGATATGAGCACCTTTGTGAATATTTTAAGTTCTTGCCTGCCTCTCTTTTTCTGTGGTGTACTTGGTGTGCACCTCCAGCTACCTTTGGGGCAGTGGTGAGCCTGGCTGGTTCTATTGGAGGTAGGCATTACCATTCACCCTGTGTACTGACTTGAATTAGGGACCCAGAATGGCTTGCAATTTATTTTTTTCAGTGATATGAGAATAACATTCTGGTGGCCTGCATTAACACCTGGCTGTATGAAGCTTCCATTTCAGCTCTACAGGAGTTTCCATAGTTTCTGTGCTCTGCTCAGACAGTGACATGATTTTGTTGCTCCCTATAAAGAGTGCTTTAAAAAGTTCTGCTGGGAAGGGTAATTTGAAAATGGTTTTATTTGTTCTTCTTCTTATTCTAGACAGATTACTGCCAGCTGCTCCATTACTGTTGGTATTGTCTAAAAATCTGCTCTTAGCCACTTGTTTTTCAAATACTGCTATATTTCTCAGTGCTTTCCTGAGAATGTTCTATCTAGCAAAAATGACTAATTGAGATGGTTTTTCACGTTCTGTCCTTATCGTCTTTTTATTTGAGCCAGTAATAAGAGAATGGGATTTCTTAAAAATCCACGCTGTAAACCTGTGTTATTTTCAACCTAGAAAATAAATGGGATAGGAATTGCTAGTTCTCTCTTTCATTCTAAATACCTGGTGATTTTGAATATTCTGATACCAGGAAATTGCTTGGAGCTGTCTAATACAAAATATGAATAGATAAGGAATTGAAAACTTGAAAATAACAGTTTGTACGATGGAGTGAATGCTTGCTTGTGAGGGGACGTTAGGCAAAAAGGGATAGGAACCAAGAACTAGAAGTATTCCATTGACTCAGTTTTACTCAGAAACTACTTCATTTTGGAATGTTTGTATTTCCATAGTTTTGCATGAAACCTACTTTCTCTTTGACCCAGCTGTTTCTAAGGAATCTTTGGAGATGCAGAGACTCTACAGAGTTCAGAGGCAAAAAAAAAAGTCTTAATTTAAATCTAAAAGTGCTGTTTTCTAGAAGTGTTGAGTGTTGGGCAGCAAAGGCATGCAGCAGTGAGTATTTTATTTGCAGCAGCTAATACTACTGCTAGCATTGTATACAGCTGTGTTGTTTTAAAATGCACTGCGTATGACAATGAGTGTCTAGGAGCTTGGGTTAATTTCTCAAATTT